TCGGCTTGCTAGCGCCGACGAGTCTGGGCGGGACCGAGAGCCGCGCGAATGGCGCGAGCGATTGTTTACAAGTGTGGAGTCCCGTGGAGGAGCTCTGGATGGAAATTTTTGTTCTGTGTTTACCTCATAGTTAAAGTTGTTGCACGTCCGCCGGTTCCTGCCTCAAAATGAGCGAGTTTGAGTCACTTGTACATCCAGGAAGTGTTCAGAATAGCAAAACAGAAGCGAAGAAACTCGACACAGAGGAACATTTACACCTCACTGCCCACTAGCGTTTCGGAAGTGTTAATGCAGACCAACGGAGACAGCGCGCAGAAGTATAAATGCACAGCTACAGCCGTTGCATGCACCGTGGGTTACGCCGGTCACTTGACGCAGAAGTATAAACCAGGCTTTACCTGGAAGTTTTATTCCAAATGAAGACGGGAGAGTAGTTTGTGTTACACTATGTTTTTGTGGTGCCTGCGGAGATGCTCTGCCATGTTAGTCGTGCAGCCGGTGGAATAATGTGGTTAAAGTACATAGCAGAGCTTGCAAATAATTTTTTTGTTGTTGTTACTGGAAATCCAAAACACTTCCACATCGGCGACTTCATTGAAAGAGGAAGGGGTTTAAGTTCTGTCGAAGGGTCGCCTGCGTCTGCAGTTGCCATGCTATCTTTTGGCTGTTTGTTGCAGCAGTTAGGTCGACTCGCAGCACTTTAACAATTGTTTTTTGTTTTGCTTGGCAAGCCAAGCTGACGTGACAAAGGGGGCGTGGCAGCATCGACGATTCCATTTTTTGATTCGATACCCGAGAATAAGCATGAATTTCGATTGACTTCGATTTAAAATCGTGACACCCTTAATTATTTCTATGATCGTTACTTTGAAAACTATACAGTAATGCACATTTATTGTACTACCAAAATACCATGCGAAGCTTCTTCAAGAGATGAGAGTTATGTCATCAATAGTAATGTGTGTTTATTGTACTCATAGTCCATGCTAGACTAAAATACTTTAAAGAATACCATGGTAAATGTTCAAGTACGCGGCATTACCATGGTAATTGCACAAAAACATGAAAACACCGTTATACTTACAATTTTTGTTATAGCAATACATGTTTACTGTAATCATACTACATGCTAGGCTAAAGTACTTCAACTTTATACCATGGTAAATGTTCAAGCACATGGCATTTGCTCAAAAACATACAGAAATACCATTATACTTTGATGTATTGAATAATAATGCGTTTACTGTACTCATGTGCTGTGCTAGGCTAACGTACCTCAAAGAACACCATGGTAAATGTTCAAGTACACAGCATTTAGCTTGGTATTTGCTAAAAAAATACGAAAATATCATTTTACTGATGTATTGTATAGTAATGCGTGTTTACTGTACGTTACATGTTGAGCTGAAGCACCTAAAATAGCATGCTGTTACTGTGGTGAACGTACACGCGCATGGTAACGCTAACGTTACTGTTCCCATGCTAATAAAACTGATATGAAACCTTGGCTTACCTGAGTGAATCTCGTCTTCTCCATCCATCTGGACGGAACCGTGCGGTTACACTCAAACACACACTCTCTCACACACACAAACACACACGCACGCACACGAATAACAACAGTACAAGAGAGGCGCTAAACTGAGCAGTAGCACTCCGGGTTTTCCGCGGTTTCAGAAAACCGGGTTGTTCAGCGAACCAGCGGAGCTCTACTATCCGTCAGGGACTGTAAAGACACTCATCTGTCAGAATATTAATATTTCAACTATCGACGTATTGCTAAATTGTCGTTTCTGTCCCTGTTTCTTTCTTCCTCTAAAATGGTGTCGCCGCTAAAGAGACGCATGCGTGCAGACGCCCCGGCGCTTTCAAATGACGTCAGTCAAACGATCAGCGTCATTCGAAAGGGGCGGAGCATAGGAAACGCGCGTAAATATTTTCCTCAGTAAATTAATTTATATTTCTAGATAATTTACATGAATTATATATATCAGAGATCTCAAACTGGATTCCTGGAGGGCCGCAGCTCTGCACAGTTTTCCTCTAACCCTAATCAAACACAGCTGATCCAACTAATCAAGGTGTTCAAGACAACTATAGATGGAGATGGTTGGAGAGCTGTGGTCCTCCAGGAATTGAGTATGAGACCATTGTGTATATATATATATATATATGTGTGTGTGTGTGTGTGTGTGTGTGTGTGTGTGATATATGCTTATATTTATATTATATTAATTGCATTTCTTATGATTTGTAAAATGTAATTTTGCCCTATAAAATAATTAAATGATCCTTTTTGGTTGTATTTTAGTGTAAATTTCCAGCTTTAAAATAGTTTGAGGCACTTGGTTATTGATTTAATACATATATTTGATTCTGGTTTTTCCCATATACCTGTAGAAATATTATATGGTCATTGTATCTCAAATAAAATGTACACATTCAAAAAAAAGCTAATAAAATGTCAGAATATGCTAATTATTTCACTCAATTTCAATTTAAATTGTCAAAAAGAAACTTCTGTGCCAATGCCGTAGTGGAAAGTGCATCGACACTTAAATGCTTACGGCAACACGAGTTTGATTCCCGCCTTGAGGTCCTATGCCGATTCTTCCCCTCTCTCTGCTCCCCACGTTTTCTTGTCAATTCACTCTACTGTCCTGTCCAATAAAGGTGAAATCCCAGAAAAGATAATTATTATTTAAAAAGAAATGTATAATTACAAGCTGACCATTTTAATATCAATATATTTTATAGTGAATCCCTTTTTGACTTTAGTATTTAGTATATTAACAGTTATTTCACTCGATTTTCACTTGAGAAACTCTCATATGCTTTACGTGTGTCTATAACTACTATTTTCATTTATAGCACCTTATTTTTGCATCTCGTATAAACACACTATGATCAGCAGCAGCTACACTAATTATTTTCTTTATTCTCTATATTCACCTGGGGATACTCATCCCGAGGCCTCTAGAGATTATGCAGCGCCATTGATGCGATCCAAGACCTGTGAAGAGATGATGCCAAGGTGTCCATAATCCTGGACCAGGCCGTATCCTGAGCTGATGCTGTGGTGGTCATGGAGGAGTGGAGAGCAAGAGACTGATTCCTGAAAGACCCCAGTGACAGTTGAGTCTCCACATTGATACTGTGGGCCCGACTGCAGCTCTGCACAAGATTGTTTGACCACAGGAGAAATGGTGGTGCCCAACTGAGCCTGGTTTCTCTCAAGGTTTTTTCCTTCACTTTAATCAATTGGTGAAGTTTGGTCCTCCACTGTCGCCACTGGCTTGCATGGTTCGAGATCTGTAGAGCAGTACATCGATGGATTTGCTCTTCAGTGTTTGGACTCTCAGCAGTGAATATTAAACCACACTGAACTGAACTAAACTGAACTTCATCTCTGAAATCTGGACGTACACTGTTTACATTTACTATAATCTTGTATGTGAAGCTGTTTTGACACAATCTAACTGTAAAAGAGCTAGACAAATAAAGATGAATTGAATTTAATTATAAGAGGAAAACTGGAAATCGTTGTTGTTTTATGTTGTGTATTTTTTATATGGGTCAAAAACACATCACAAAATCATAGTTAAATAGCTCTTTTAATAGAATAGGACACACGTTTAAGACATTAACATTGAAATATATTGTGTATGACATAACGGTAATTATTATAATAGTTCATTTATTTATTGTGCATTTAAAGTCAACATGAAAACAGCATTTCAAACTCATTTAACGTTCTTAAGCAGACATATTAACGGGTAGAATTGAACATTAGGACATTGATTTAATCCAAGAAAGATCGTTTGGTTAATGAAAAGTGACAGGAGGGGAAAATCTATCAAGCATGAGACAAAATGACTTGAAGATTATTAAATTAATGACGGATTGTGAAGAATAACATGTCCAAATTTTATTCTTCACAATGAGCCAAATTAACCATTTGCATTTTCTTTTCGGCCTAGTCCCTTCATTAATCTGGGGTCACCACAGCGGAATGAACCGCCAACTAATCCAGAATACGTTTTATGCAGCGAATAACCTTCCAGCTGCAACCCATTACTGGGAAATACCCACACACACTCATTCACACTCATACACTACGGACAATTTAGCCTAATCAATTCCCCTATAGCGCATGTGTTTGGACTGTGGGGGAAACCGGAGCACCCGGAGAAAATCCATGATAACAAGGGGAGAACATGCAAACTCCACACAGAAACAGCAACTGATGCAGCCGAGGCTCAAACCAGCGACCTTCTTCCTGTGAGGCGAATGTGCTACCCACTGCGCCACCGTGCAGCAAATTTTTAGAAGAATTGTGCAAAAAAACTACATTTCCCATGATGCTGTAGAGAAAACTCCACTAATCAGTCATGAGAAGCACCTAAAGAGCTCTTTAGCTCCACCCACTTTAACGAAACACAACCAATGTAATGAAGTCTCCACATTTGCAGATAAATCCACATTTTGCAGTTTCTAGATATTCAATCAACAACATTTCGTTAATATTTATACGATAAATTTTTCAGTTGTTTTATATGTGTCGTGTGAAATGCATCATGGGATTGTAGTTCTTTACCTCATTAAAACTTTAAGTAGTGGCAGTAGGTTGAAAACTATCAGGTATTAGTAGCATGCTTTATAGAGCAAGTTATTCATTTGATGATGATTCGTACAGATCACAACCCAAGTGACCCGCGGATTTATATTGATACTGTTTTACGTTACTAAATTTGTAACGATGGCAGGAAGATCACCTCTCGTGTCATTCAAAATACATGTATGAAGAATTTAGGCTTTCCTGTAAAATATCATCATGATGGAGGTTGTGGTGGGTTATTGGGGATGTTGTGGGTTTCTAATGTTATTAAAGGGGTTTTCTGTCACTACTTGTTTACCCTGCATTAATGCGTTCAGTGTAGAGCTGCACGTTTAATCATTAAAAGATCAGGATCTCAACACCCACGCACATAATTATAAATGATGCTGATTTGCATGTTTATTAATCCTCGAATCGCTGCATTCAAATCTGAAAATGCACTGAACACTAATGCCAGAAACACACATTCTTACAGGGACAGTTCAACCAAAAATAATATTTAATATTCAGTTTCCATTGAAGAAGATATTTTGAAGAATGTTGGACTCTGGAAACATCCATAGTAAGAAAAACGAACCCTATGGAAGTCAATGGATATTTTCCCCCAGTATTCTTCCATTGTGTTCAACAGAAGTAAGAAACACAAATAGGTTTGGAACAAGTGTGAATAATGACACTATTTTTATTTGTCGTGTGAACTATGTCTTTAAAAAAGTAAAGAAGTTTAGTTGTTTTCATGTTGACTTCAATATACTAAATAATTACTGTGTGTGTGTGAATCTCCTTCAGTGTTATTCATCCACTACAGTTCCCTGCATCATGATATAAGACAGACCAAAGGGTCAAACAAGTCTTTAGTAAAAGCATCGGAGCACAGTTTAAAATCAAGGACAGTCAGGTCAGTCCATATCCACCTTTCATTACACAAATGTGTGAAGACTTCTCATTCAACTGACAATAGGTAAAGAGAATAATTGATGATTTGTAGCTGTGGAATAACCCAAATCATTCAGCGTAGTGATATGGTGCTCAAAACCTGCCGGAACTACTTAAGCTGTGTGTTTATCTGAAAATAACAGCAAACCTTAGAATGCTCATCAGCCAATTAAAATTAAGCATTTACCAGCACTTCAAATCAGTCTTTGACCACATGAAGAAAATACTATAGTAAAATATTGTAATAGTGCTTTGAACCATACTATAGTAAAGTGTATTATACTGTATACATTATAGAATTTACAACTCTGGTAATAAATGCTCCAGCATACTGTGGCATTAACTGATATACTGATAAATATTGTAGCATACTTTAGTTTTTACTACAGTAAACTTTGGTGTATTGTAGCAAAATACACCCTATATTTGGAGAAAAGTACATTATTGGATCATTTGTATTACAGCTGTTGTTGTGTTACCATAGCAACTGTAGAATTACCACAGCAGATTAATTAGTATAGTTGTTGTGTTACCATAGCAACTGTAGAATCACCACAGCAGATTAATTACTTTAGTTGTTGTGTTACCATAACAACTGTTGAATCACCACAACAGATTAACTACTATAATTGTTTGTGTTACTATAGCAACTGTAGAATTACCACAACAGATTAACTACTACTACAGTTGTTGTGTTACTATAGCAACTGTAGAATCACCACAACAGATTAACTACTACAGTTGTTGTGTTACTATAGCAACTGTAGAATCACCACAACAGATTAACTACTATAGTTGTTTGTGTTACTATAGCAACTGTAGAATTACCACAACAGATTAACTACTACAGTTGTTGTGTTACTATAGCAACTGTAGAATCACCACAACAGATTAACTACTACAGTTGTTGTGTTACTATAGCAACTGTAGAATCACCACAACAGATTAACTACTATAGTTGTTTGTGTTACTATAGCAACTGTAGAATCACCATAACAGATTACTATAGTTGTTGTTACCACAGCAACTGTAGAATCACCAGAGCAGATTAATTACTATAGTTGTGCTACCATAGCAACTATAGATCACCTCAAGAGTTTTTTTTTTCTATAGTTGTTGTGTTACCATAGCATCTATAGAATTACCACGGCAGAGTAAAGCTGGGGTCACACTGGACTTTTTGCCCCATAGACTTCCATTCATATGCATACGAATGCAACCGGAAACGCAAGCTCGTGCGACAAGTTTCATAGTTCACTGCATTGCTAAGATCAAGCTTGGTGAACTTTGATCTGCGAAATGGCATCAGGTGACTGCATCTAAAACCTCCTACTACTCAGTAGGTACTGCATTTGAATTTAAACGTACTACTCAGCCGATAGAAAAGTACGTTCCATACAGTATGAATGTGAAAAGTATGAATGGAATTCAGACGTACTACATCCGCCATTTTGTCTTGTTTACATGATCTACCTGTGTCAGTTGCATGGGATGCGCACTTCAGAATCTCACCGGAAGTATTAAGTGATTTGGGTACTTCTCGCGAACTGATTTTCGAATTCTATGAATTCAGACATACTACTTGGCTCGCATACTAGTTTTAGCGTACTGTATTGTATGCAAGTATGCGGTTTTGGATGCAGCCCATGAGACCAATCGAAGATTAAAACATGACAGAAATATAAAATATGAACCAATCGCTTATTTTTTTTAAAATGTCTAATCATCTTGTTTGATCCCGCCCCTTTTCGCAGTGCCATACGACAGAATTTTGGATGCCTAAACTCTACTGTCATCGCGATATAGCTGCTAAATTTGTTTTATTACCATGGCAACTATGGAAAAACAGCAAAAAATTTACTACTACAGTTACCGTAGCAACTACAGAATAACCGCAATAGATCATTTACTATAGTTGTTGTGTTACCAAAGCAACTATAGAATTACCACACCTGATTAATTAGTATAGTTGTTGTTACCATAGCAACTACAGAATCACAACAGATAATTTACTAGTTGTTGTGTTGACATGGCAACTATAAAATTACCTAAGCAGAGTATCCGTTAGTTGTTTTATTACCATAGCAACTATAGAAATACAGCAACAAATTAACTACTATAGTTGACGTGTTACCGTAGCAACTAGAAAAACCACAACAGATTAATTACTATAGTTGTTGTGTTACCATAGCAACTGTAGAATCACCACAACAGATCAATTATTATAGTTTTTGTGTTGCCATAGCAACCATAGATCACCACAAAAGATTAGACACTACAGTTGTTGTGTTACCATAGCAACAATAGAATTAACACGGCAGAGTAACTGCTATGGTTGTTTTATTACAATAACAACTATAGAAATACAGCAACAGATTAACTACTATAGTTGACTTGTTACCATAGCAACTATAGAATCACCACAACAGATCAATTACTAAAGTGGATGTGCTAAGGTAGCAACTATAGATTTACCACAACAGATTAACTACTACAGTTGTGTTACCATAGCAACTATAGAATCACAACAGATTATTTACTAGTTGTTGTGTTGAAATGGCAACTATAAAATTACCAAAGCAGAGTATCCGTTAGTTGTTTTATTACCATAGCAACTATAGAACCACAGCAACAAATTAACTACTATAGTTGACGTGTTACCATAGCAACTATAGAATCACCATAACAGATCAATTACTATAGTTGATGTGTTAAGGTAGCAACTATAGATTTACCACAACAGATTAACTACTACAGTTGTGTTACCATAGCAACTGCAGAATAACCACAACAGTTTAATTACAATAATTGATGTGTTACCGTGGCAACAGTAGAATCTCCACAGTAATTCTAAAAATGTATAATTTAAGTGCCTTACTATAGCATGGTTCAAAAATACTACAGTATTTACTGTAAACTACAGTATGTGGGTTATGACAATATATTAAAATAATATGATAATCCAGTTTGCAACATGAAGCAGAATATCCAGCTGTTTTTATGACTAAACAACAATGGAAGTGAATGAGAACAGAAGTCTGAACACACTTAAGTAAAAAGGCCACGTTCACTTTTACATGACAAATAAAACGGAGACATGATAAATAAAACACACGTGTGGATGAAATGAGCTGGACCGCATCCCCTGACACACACACACTGAAACAGCCTTTAATACTGAGCGTCAGTCGCAGTAACTCAGTGTTAGATCCTCATTCTCGTTCAGAGATGAGCTTTTAGTTTTTATATAGTGGTAACGTTAAGCTTTCCCTCTTTCGCTTTGTTCCCTTAGTCCCCATAGTATGACCTCTGACCTCTCTTGACCTCTGCTGACATCAGAGCACATACAGTGTCTCTAGTTTTTCTCCTCCTCGTCCTGCTGTTCTTCCTCAGAGCTGCGGATGAATGGGCGGCGAGTGAGTTTCTCCGGGTCGTGTGACGCCATGTTACTGAAATCTCGGAAAATATCCTGGAATGTTTCATCGTCTCCTGTGGAGAATCGGAAAAACGAACACTCCATTATGGAAATATGCTAATTTTACAGCTCTCCTAGACATAAACTGTTGTGATGTACCATTTTTCAAATGCATTTAGCCGATCCTCAGGTCTGACGGGAGCACTTTTAGCTTAGCTTAGCATAAATCACTGGACCAGACTAGACCATTAACATTAGTTAGTTTTTGATCATATTCCTATTTAAAGGGGACCTAATATGCCTCTTTTTACAAGATGTAAAATGCGTCTCTGATGTCCCTAGAGTGTGTGTGTGTGAAAATTGAGCTCAAAGATACACAGATAATGCTCTCCAGCTCTCTGAAACTGACCTTCTTAGGCTTTGATCCTAATTGTGGTGTTTTTGTGACTGTCGCTTTAAATGCAAATGAGATTGCAGTCTTTTAAGAAGTGGGCGGAGCTACAAACACCTGTGTGTCAGCATAGTGGCAGATGTAAAACGGCACTAGTGTTGTGAGTGCTGCTCAGGTGTGCATGTGTGCTTCAGTGTGTGTTCATGCTTCTGTCACTGTTCCTCTAAAACTCCACATCTATAATCCTCTTAGTCTATGCTGACATCATCTTCAGCAGCTCAAACACTCTAATGGCTAATGGACAGACGGCTGCTTCTCACTAAGGGCTGCTGTTTATGCTAATGAGATGGAGAGATGGGCACTAGTGGGCGGGGCTTTTCCCCCTCTGATGACACGCACAAAGGAAGAATGTCAATCAAAGTGTTTCCTGCAGACTGTTTTCATCAAGTCTGATTATAATAAATAACATTAATACATTTATACTATTAGAGGCTGGAGATATTCACACACTGCTGACACACAACTGGGTTTAAACCACTTATAAAAGCGATTTTTGCATAAAAGATCCTGTTTAAATTTGGACTCTTTTGTAGTCACAATGTAGTCTTTTGTGAACACAATAACAAATCAGCGCTGTTTAAGAAAGCCATCAACATTGCCTTAAATGTTAGAGCGGAATTGCCGGTTTTTCTTTTAATTCAGTATCGTGACGAGTCTAATATAGAGAAAGAGTCAGTTTATTAACTCGAGTTTGATGAATGGCATCTAAAACGTGTGTTTGGGAAAGAAAACATTAGCTAACTAGTGCCATTTCCCTTAACTTAGCCGAAAATGAGCTCTGATATCCCTTTTTACATTCACCATTCATTCAGAACGGACCTCCGGGTCACCCAGAAGGCGATGAAATGATGAATTTGTGTCACTTTCTCTTCGCTGATAAGATATACAGCCAGTTACACAATGTTCCTATGTAAATCCCAATGATACTTCCGGGTTTCTTCCCACCGCAGCCTCGATTTCACTTTTGAAAATGGCGTCCGCGTGAAATCAGTCTATTGTTTCTATTGTAATCAGTCTATATCTAATTAATATCTTACCAACAGATCCGAAGAATCCCTCTGAATCCCTCATTTCCTCATTCATTCGGGCCATTCTCAACCTGAAACAGACACATTGCTGGGATTTACCCCATGTGTTTTAACATGTTTATACATTTCTAAGGTGTGCAATACAATACACTATAAAAAGTTAGACTATAAGATTATTTGCTGATAAATAAAGCTGAATGTATGATTCAGGAGGTGAAGACAGTCAGAAACAGCTCTAGTGGAGGTCTCAATATCCACAATATGTCACTAAACACACAAGCAAACATGGTTTTTAGATAACTTGATATTCATTCATTCATTTTCTTTCGGCTTAGCCTCTATTTCAGAGGTCACCACAAACTTTTACAGCATATGTTTTACACAGCGGATTCCCTTCCAGCTGCAACCCAGTACTGGGAAACACCCATACACACTCATTCACACTCACACTCATACACTAAAGCCAATTTAGTTCATCAGTTGCCCTATGGCGCACGTGTTTGGACTGTGGGGGAAACCGGAGCACCCGGAGGAAACCCACACCAACACAGGGAGAACATGCAAACTCCACACAATAACACTAAGTGACCCAGCCGGGACTCAAACCAGCGACCTTCTTGCTGTGAGGCCACAGTGCTGCCTATATAACTTGATATAACTTGTGTTATTATTCAAAGCTGCTCCATTACAGGTTATTAAAAATGAAAAGGTTTATCTAGGAGACAAAAATGTACCCGCCGAGTCAGAATCACCCAAGCTAGGAATGAATCCCTATGGAAAAAAAAAACGAATGGATATTTCTGACTACTCACAAAGTGACGATGTCAGCATGGGCGGTTTCTATGGCGATACTGAGCGGATCGTTTCCTTTTTCATCTGCTGCGTACTGATTGGCTCCTCTCTTGAGGAGCAGACACACCTGCCTGAAGTGACCAATCACACAACACCATTACTGTGCTGATCTTAGAAAAACAAAGAGTGACATCTCGTGGCCATAGGAAAAATCCAGTTGTATTAAGTTGTACCTCTAGATTTGTACCTCTAGTTAGTGTTGCAATGGAGGAGATTCAACAGAGCTGTATTTTGGTGCCATCTCCCCTTTTTCTTGTTTTTTGTAAAGATTTGAAATATTATTTAAATACAATCTCTACCTCCAGCAATGTTAAAGCTTTAAAATCAGTAACAGTATGTAAAATCTTACAGTATTGTCTCTTTTTATAATACCCAGATGCCTGTATTGTATGTGATCCTGTAAACATCACTGTGACTTTGCTTTAGGGTAGATTTAAAGTGATTTTTGTAATTCATATTCCTCCTGGCATATTTTTTAGTTTTAGTTTTTATTTTCTTCCGTTGTCTACTTTTGCTGTTATAGGTTTTGTACCTTTTCTGCAGATTTTTGTATTCTGGTTGAACTTTCTAATAATAAAAAAAAATATATATATATATATATAATTTTTTTTTTTTTTTTTTTTTTTTTGCTGCCATGCGGGTTAATGTTACAAAAGCTCTTGAAAATATAAGTCTGTGTGTATTTTGTTTAATATTTTTCTTCATTTGGAGTGTAATGTAAAGAAACATGTATAGAAATGACTTTTCCGAAAGACTAAAACAACACCCTACTGAAAAAACCAGCTTAAACCAGCCTAGGCTGGTTGGCTGGTTTTAGCTGGTCGACCAGGCTGGTTTTAGAGGGGTTTTGGCCACTTCCAGGCTGGTTTCCAGCCATTTCCAGCCTGGTCTTAGCTGGTCAGGCTGGACAATGAACAGCTAAATCCAGCTAAAACCAGCTTGACCAGCCTGGTCTAAGCTGGACATAGCTGGTTTTGGCTGGACCCCCAGCTTGGCT